GAAAGAGTTATCTGGATGTCTCAACTGCCAGTTCTGTATCTTAGTACTGTTTGAATCTGAGCTTTCAGGGAGGGGAAGAAAGCTTGCTTTTTAATGTATTCCTCTCATAAAGCTTTTTGAAGGACAAACCTCCAAGACTCTGTTTGCAGCTGAGAAGATTACAGCTTATACCAAAATGAAAGTTTGGTGTCCTGTTAATTTGTTATTTTGAGGAAGTAAAATTACGTGCACTGTTCTTAGTTTGTAGTAACAATTTTGTTTCTTACCAGCAAAATGTTTCCATGAACCCTAGAGCAGGTGGTTTTCATTTTGCTCTGACCTTGTTAGTGAAACACAGAACAGACTTCTGAAGTCCTTTTATGTGGTTCTTCATGAAGGAGCTGAGTTGGCTCGTTAGTATTTTTGTAATGGAAGTAATCTTTCAAGAGTAAAGCTGGTGGGAAGGATACAACATTAAAAATAATTGCTGTGTTTTAAGAGGTGCAGTATATTGAATGTCCTTGTTAAACCAAACATTTTCATCAAAGAGCCTTTATTTCATCGCTGTGGAAAAGTATTTACATTTTTTCCTCCTTCTGTATACCCAGTTATAACAGAAACTACGGGTAGCGTTTCAGGAGTAAGCCTTACATCGGAACTAAATGAAGAGTTGAATGACTTAATTCAGCGCTTTCACAACCAACTTCATGATTCTCAGGTCAGTCCTTGGATTGCGCTGTGTAGGTTTTGCCATTGTCCATTTTTTCTCATTCTTTTGAACAGTGCAGTTAAGTCTTTGTCTTGCTTGTTTGCTTGTGTTTGCAAGTGGAGTAGTTAAGGTTCCCCCAAACTTGAAAGCTCAGCATCTTTGTGTTCTTAAGAGTTACTGACTGACCTATGCTTTCTGTCTCGCAGTTTTCCATGAAAGTCCAAAGAAGTAGTTTCTAAATTGCAGTATAATTATATAGTTACTCAATATATAATTAGGATATTATGAGAGTGGTTTTGGTATCAGTTTCCCTTTATAATGTTCTTTGTTCTGATGTTGAGCCTACAAGCCTATAAGAGGGCTTTTTGTTTCTTACGTTTTGTTTGTCGTTTTTCACTGTGAATAAAATGAAATTACTCTTTTTAGACACAATCTGTGCCAGACAATAGAAGGCAAGCAGAAAGTCTTTCACTTACAAGAGAGATTTCACAAAGCAGAAACTCTTCAGTGTCTGAACACCTGTCAGATGAGAAGGCGCAGCTGTTTAACAAGATGCGAATGTTGCAGGGTAAAAAGCAAAAAATGGATAAACTATTAGGAGAACTTCATACGCTTCGTGACCAACATCTAAATAACTCCTCCTGTAAGTAACTATGGGCAGAATTGTATCTTTTCAAGAATACAGCTTTTTTAATGTGCATGTTTGTAACATGATCTTTCAACTTGCAACTGGTTAATGAAATGCAGTTGATAAAGCTGTGCTGGGGCACTATTGTGTAAATGTTTTTTAATGCTGTGTAAGTTTTTGGCTTAATGGAGAACTCTACAAGTAATGATGATGAGTGTCTTTGCTAGTAGTACTTTGGTTTATAACATTATCAAAGTTGACTAATGTGAGGATATGATTGGCTTGTCTGTGATGCCTGACTTATGGAGTGTATCGTATGAACCTGAACTTTCTGTGTTCTTATCATAGTACGCCTCTCTTTACGTGGTCAGCACTTCAGATGTTAGTAGCTCTATGGCATTATGGGGTTTGCTTACCCACTGTCAGAAGACTGTCTGATGCACTAGTTGCAGGGACTTGAGTCATAAGCCATACCAGAGGAACTTAACTGTCTGAATGGCCTAGAGTTTTGGCCGGTTCCTTAGGTGGCTTTTCTTTCTTAAAGTCTTGATGTGGGCCTACTCACTGCTCTTGCTTTCTGTTTCTAGAAATACATTCATACTAGTGAGGTTTGTCCTGCAGCTGGAAACTTCTGAGTGGTGATCACACTGTATTCTGCTTAACATTAAGAAATGAGACACTTGAAGATACTCCTGGAGAAGGGCAGACTGATTTTTATAGTTACTTGAGTATGCCTCTGTCTTTCTACATGTAGTTAATGTGTATAGTATGAACATACTTGGATATGATTTCATGTAGCTGGAAAAAGCAAACATCAAATCTATGTTCTACAGCATATGGACAAAAGAGTTTAGCAGAGGAAAAAAATTGATGGGATTTTTCTTTTTGTCACATTGAAATGTTAAATTTTAAAAAAAGGTAAGTCAGCCCTAAATAGGCCCTTAAAAGAATTCTTTGGGCAGTTTCACAGCATGAAAGCTTCTGCTTCTGAAGTTCGATAAAGCTAAAAGGAACTGACTGAAGTCTTGTTTACAAAAGCTACTTACTACTCTCTGCCTATTGGCATTGCACGCCATGCAACTTAAGACAAAAGCTTTTGTTCTTCGAAGAAGTTATTAACTGCTGTTTTGTACGTTGGTAATACTTTCTGTAGTTACAATTTAATATAATTCAGTTAAGTGGGTTCCTTTTTGCAAGTTGTTCTTATGAGCTATATTTCTTTTCTGTAGTTTTTCCTGCTTCAGGTTCTCCTCAAAGGAGTGTTGATCAAAGAAGTACAACTTCAACTGCTTCTGGTCCTGTAGGTGTAGTAACTGTTGTCAATGGCGAACCAAATAGCCTGGCACCTGCTCCCTACCCTCCTGATGCCCTGGTTTCTCAGAATGAGAGTGAAGAGGATGACAATCTAAATCCAACAGAAAAGCTTCAGTAAAAGTTCTATTTTTTTTCATAATGTGCTTTAGTGATTTTGAGTGTTACTTTTTTTAATAAGGTCTGTGTTAAGAAACCACTTTATATTTTAATCTACTTAATTTAGTATTATAGACCATTTAGTAAATGGTCCAAGACAGTTAAATGAGTGCAGAGCTTCAAGCAGAAGGTTTTTACAGCTAGTAAAATGGCAGTAAACCTTTAAGAACTATAAATCGTGTGTATATACTTTTCACCTCTACGTAGATTTGATTCATATGACAAAATATAGAGCATAATTTTTTTTTCTTCTCAGGAAGCTAAATGAAGTTCGTAAGAGGCTGAATGAGTTACGGGAGTTGGTTCACTACTATGAGCAAACATCTGATATGATGACAGATGCTGTGAACGAAAACACTAAGGAAGAGGAGGAAACAGAAGAATCGGAAAGTGATTCTGAACATGAGGATCCACAGCCTGTAACAAATATTAGGTAGTCATATTTTTTGTAATCCTAAATCTGTGTAGCTAAGTTGTTGCAAGTATCCTGAAGCAATACATTGTTTCAGTCAACCAGAAGAAACTTAAATCTGTGATTACGTTACCTTTCCAAATTTTTAAGTTGAAGTAGCTTTCTTAAACGATTAATAATAATCTTGTCCTTAGTAACTTATTTCTGTAGCAAATGTAAATGAGATTGGACATTCAGAAAATCACCATAAGAGACTTGAAAACTGTAATTCCTTTGGGTTTAAGCACTGAATTGTGTGTATGGAATCCGTTGAAATCTTAACAGACCTAAACTGAGGAATTGGAATAAAAACAAACTTCCGTTTAGAGAGGCATTTAGAGCTATAGTCTTAACAGAGCAACTGTGTGCATCAAGGATCTTCGCTGTGCAGAAGGGAATACTAATTTAGTTATTAATCATAAAAAGGTTTTATATTACAGACATATATCTTGAAAGCCTCTGGTATTGTTGTAGATCTAGCAGGGGATAATTCATGGCTGCTTCTGATTACTTAAAAAAATAAAATAAATATATTGGAGAGATGGATATTGAGAAAATCCAAATGTCTGGACTGATTTTTATATGTGGTTGGTTTTGTTGGGGTTTTTTTGTGTGTGTGTTTTGTTTTTTTTTTTTTAAGGGTCAGGACACATCCCTATAAAAGCCAGTTAATAAAATGGCTGAAGTAAGATTCCATCAATATCAGTTCTTAAAAAGTTAACATGAGTAATGTATTTTACCCTAGGAACCCTCAAGGAATCAGTAGTTGGAGTGAAATAAATAGCAACTCAAATGTGCAGTGTGGAACTAATAACAGAGATGGAAGGCATCTTAATACAGACTGTGAAATAAATAACCGATCTGCTGCTAATATGAGGACTCTAAAAATGTCTTCTACTCTAGGTATGTTCTAAAATCTTCTCATATTTTTAACTTATTGCAAATAATCTTGATAGCTGCACACATTGTTGGAGAACCTTGTTTGATGAGCAAAATGTTTGAGAATCTAATCATTAAGCTGATATTTTTCTAATGTCCAGTAATTACAGTTGACTTCAGAAGTTCATTAACACTGTTTTGTTTCCTCCTCTCCCCACCTCCAGACTGTCATAACAGGGAGGATGACAAAGACATTGACCTACCCCAAGAAGATGATGAAGTGGAAGAAGATAGAGTTAGTGAAGATTCTGTATCTAGTCACAGAAGCAGCTTGGGTGATGCTGCTGGAGATGCTGAGTTTGAGCAGAAAATCAATAGGCTTATAGCTGCAAAACAGAAACTTAGACAGCTACAAAACCTTGCTGCTATGGTGCAGGTAATTTATAAATATAAATCTGTGCACAAAAATGTGGCATTCATTATTTCATGTAATGTATAACTTTTAATAGGGAAAAACACTGTGTAGTGTAACATTTAAAATGATCATTTTTAGGCTGGGAAAGAGACACAGATTTTTTCTGAAGTCAGTGGTGATACTTATGAAGTGCAAATCTGGAATTTTCTTGGGGTATGCTAAAGTAACAGAAGAATGGCCTTAATATTTAACTTTAGCACTGGGTTTACAAAATAGGAACCATGTAGTCTAATATTTTCTTTTTTAAATATTGATCTAAATTGTTAAGCTTATAATGAATATTCATCAGTTTTAGTTTTGAATCCTAGGTTTTGCAACATGGCTCAATCAATGAGGGGAAAAAAAAGAAAAATATTAAAATCTTTGGATGTTGCAACACCTTCAAGTTAGGGTATTTGGGTTTAGGGATGGTGTTTCTTGGTTTTTTGTGGTTGATTTTGTTGTGATTTTTGGTTGTTTGGGTTTTTTTAGAATCTTGAGGGCCAGCTATGAATTGAAAGTGTTTTTAATTTGGAATATCATGCTGATTTAGTGTTGTTTATTAAAAGCACATTTTCATATATCTAGTGTTCCTACAGAATACTCCCATGTAGGCGCCATCTGATGTAATGTCTGCATACTGAATACACGTAGGTGCATCAGAAATGTAGTCCTTATGTGAGAACTCTAAAATCAATCTTAGTTAGGACGTATGTTTTACAGTAGCAACAGTATAAACATTGTATTGTTATTTCAAGATTATACTGTTAGCAGGAATTTCTCAGCATCTGAAGTTGTAGGTTTTATCACTGTAGAGACGTTAACTGTACAGTGGTGTAAATCAGAATTAGAGACGATACAGCAGCTTCCTTAATTATTAACCTAATTAATGGTGTGTCTTCAATCTCTCCTTCATGTTTACAAGGCTTTTATCTGTATATACTCAGTAATGGTACTGTAGGTCTGCCTAGGTGTGTCCCACTTGGTCACTGATGATGATCTTTCATGTTCAGCAAGTTCAGTATTAAGAACGATCAAGTTGGAAAACAAAAGAAGCAGTGGCTACAGCTTCAATATTTTCAATTTAAATTGAGAACTGAAAATACAAGAATTACGAAGACAAGAAAAGTGGACTAAAGAATTATGTAGAAGACTTTAAAATATTTTAGGTTTAACTTTTAAGAGTAGTTTTGTTTTTATTTGAAGCTGTTAATAGTAATATTTAGTTTAATGACTACAATAATTAAGCAGTCTTGTTCACCTCAGTCTCCTTCTGTTCCTCTTTTCACCTCCCCCTTTGTTTCTTGACGTGCTTGTACAGTGTTTCTGTCCACTCAGTCGTGGGAATAAAATACAATCCAAGTGCTTTATGCTTCTAGAATGACACAAATTGTCTTCAGTTTATAATGTAAGTTTCAATAGCATGAGCTTTATAACTGCAAATTATCTCATTAACTTAACTTATCGTGAAGTTTTGATGCCACGAAGATGATCACTTCTCAGTTTATGATCTGAACTGAAGACAAACCTATTCAGACTGTTTAGTTTTGAAAAATTAGTTTGACAAAATAAATCTGTTACCTTTTGTGAATCAACTTGAAAATAGTCTGACTGCCTTTCTGACATCCTTTTCAGGATGATGATCCAGAACCTCAAGCAGCAATTGCAAGCGCATCTAATGTTGGTTACTTGTTTTTGGGTGAGATGGAAGAGACAAAGCAACAACCAAACAATGTCCGAGCTAGTACCAACAAGTTACAAAAAGATGTAGGACTCAATGAAAAAGCAAGGTATGCCTTTGTCAAAGGATAGTAGAATTGTGCTTTAGGCAACTTCTTGCCAAGTAATGTGCGGATAACTTATTTACACAGAGAGAAGTTCTATGAAGCTAAACTTCAGCAGCAGCAACAGGAGCTTAAGCAATTAGAAGAAGAAAGAAGAAAAGTGATTGAAATTCAAGAGAAAATTCAAGTGTTACAGAAAGCTTGTCCTGACCTTCAAGTAGGTAGAATGTATTGCTTGGCTTTCTTAAGCTGTTGAGCAACATAAAATATCTTTCACACCATTTTTTCCACTATAAAAATTGGAAACAACTCAATGTTGGTAATATGTGTATACTATAAGCAGCTAGACTTCTAAGCCTAGAGCAGAGCTCTGGTTATCTCATTCCACTGTAGGTTCTTGCTTAGTGATTGCTGTATTGAGCTCTAATTTCACTGTGGTTTGTCCTCAAAAGCCTTGATTTAAACTCTTCAAAGATAGAGAATCTTCTGTGTTATTTTTAGCCTGAAATTTATCTGTCCGTACCTGCTGGTCACTGCATCTTCACTCTTCTTTGTAGTCATTTGCAGGGTCTGGTATTTTGAAACAGTATTGTGTCTTGTAAGCATGCTCAACACTTTGTTCTATTTAGACTTAACTGCACAGTGCTCTCCTGTTTCTCATACTCTTTGAAGATGAACTTCTGTGAAGTGAGCAGTAAATTATCAATACTATGCATCTACAGCATTATATTATACTATACTACATAAAAATAAGTTTGGTTGATTCCTGGTGAAGCTCTGAAATGGGGATTTAGCCTTGATTCAAAAACCCTGTTTCACTGGATACGTTCTATCTCATAAAGCCTGAACTGTGTTGGGTTTTAACAGCAGTTTTAGAAAGCTATTATACTCTATTTTGCCATTTTGCTTTCTCTTTCAGTTGTCAGCTGGCCTGGGTAACTGCCCAGCAAATAGGCAGACTTCACCAGCAACCTCAACTCCAGCCGTGAATGAGTGTAACACAGCTGGCAAGCCTTTACTTGAATTTGATGAATCTGTACCAGTAGGCAATGAGGTATTTCATAATTGAAATTCTGTGACTTAGAAAGACGTTAGGAAGGAAAAAAGTTCTAGGTAGCTTGGATACATTTTTAAGTACTTGGCATGGGGAGTGCAGTAGTAGCCATTTTAACAAAGTGTGTATAACAACTGTGTTTCATTTCTGGGAAGAAGTAATTATTGACCTGAATTAGCAAGAGATTTTTCCCCAAATATTGCACTTGTTGCCAAATATTGATGTGGAAGTTGAGTGGATTTTGAATTTGTACTGTGACTGTTTGATAGCGTATACCACAGGCAAGTTATCCATGAAGAAAATGATGGCAGCGTCTGAAACATAGTTAATCTTCTATGCATCTTCCTTCCCCTTTTCTCCCAAAATTCATGTCTTAAATAATGATCTGAATATTACTGTCTTTCTGAAAATTGTGCTAGCATTTGTAGGGGTGGAGGTGTATATGATGAAAAGTATTTCCTGGCTAGACTAGACATCAGAAACAAGTATCTGAAAAGTACCTTTGTTAAAAGACTTTCTCTGTGGGTTGCATTAGCATTCTTGTAAATTTCCCTTTAATAGTTTAGGTGAGGCTGGGTAGTTTGGCTTGTGTCATTAAAAGCCAAATTTTCTTTCAAGGTCTTAGTTCTTCCTGCTAAAAAGAAACTGTTTCTAAAGTGAATGTGCCAATTTTTTTCAATGTGCAATTGCTGACACGCCACAAACAGGTTGGGTTATTAATTATCAAAATATGTAGGGATTTTTGTTGGAAAATGTGTTAGCTCCAGCTCTACCAACTAGTTCAGTGGCTTTCAGGCTTGAGTACATTGTCGCTTGCCTATATCTCTTAAGTCTCTGTTTTCCAGTTTAGTTCACTTACACAATTGTTTTTGTGTGTTATGACATTGTTATGCTCCTAACATGTTTGTAGAAGTATCTTGCCATTTATGCTTTCACTGTATCTAATTTAAGGTAGATAAAGGCTTCCTTCTACCTGTCCATTTCCCTTTATGTGCTCTTCTTTGTAAATCATGGTTTCCTTAAATGTTATTCAAACATGCACTGCAACTTGAAGCTTCTGCAGGTTACAGAAAATCTTTTTGTTGTATCCTCTACTTTGTTATCAAAGTATTTGGCACAGTTTTCATACTTCTCCAGAAGGTAGTATTCTGTCACGCTACTCAAAGAGCTAACTAATAATGCATAAATTATGTGATAAAATCAGTGTTGAGTGAAACGTGCACTGTTTTTCTTTAAACATTCTGTCCTATAATGGTTGTTTACCTTCTTAGATTTTACAGTATATGTGATAAATAGCAGCTTTCTGTGGTGTGGATTCAGTTAAGTATACGACCAATGTCTGAACAAACAGGTATCAGTATAGTATCAAATACTGAAATTTTAACATGCTTTAGTTTAGATTTTCTAATGTCTTGCATTTTACTGCAAACAGTTATGGTCTGAGATGAGAAGACATGAGATTTTAAGAGAAGAATTGCGACAGAGAAGAAAGCAACTTGAAGCTTTAATGGCTGAACATCAGAGGAGGAGAGAGCTCGCAGAAACAATATCTACTGTTGCTGCATCTGTTAAAAGCGAAGGATCAGAAGCTCAGCATACTCCGCAGCAGAGCAGGATGGAAAAGTAGGAACAGGAGTTGCACTCTGTTAGTCAGTGGACGCTGCTGTTGTTTAGTGAGATGTTGGACTTGGGGCAGTTTCCTGTTTTCATCTGAGCACTGACTATGATGTTAGAGCAGTAAATTAATTTCTTGACTTCTAAAGTGACTGCTAGTTGGCAACTTTCCAGTTTTATGGGTCTTCCCAGCATATTTAGTCTCCCCACTCCATAAATGGTGAAAAAAATCATCTAGGGAGAGGAGAATGTGTGGAAAATGCCAAATGCTCAGAGTAATTTTCCTTCATCCCTACACCATTTATAACAAAGTAATAATTTTCCAAAACAGGAAGTAATTTTAGTTAACTGTCCCAGTATCAGAATAATACTAGTTTCATTTTGCATTGGTGAGATAATGTTTAAATTAATTTTGGTGTGGCTTGATTAACTGAAGATACAGACTTGTAATTGTCAACAGATTGTTTTAATAATTTGTCATAAACTAAAAAAAAAGTACTCCCACCTTCCCAAACATGACCCCCCTTTTTTTTTTCCTCCAATGTTCACTAGGACAATGGCCACCTGGGGAGGTTCTACCCAGTGTGCACTACAGGAAGAGAATGCAGATGAAGATGGTTATCTCTTTGATGGAGCTGGTCAGGCAGAAGAAGAGGAAGAAGATGTGTCGAGTTTGAATGACAGTTTCTCTGTTTATCCCAATAACAACATACCAGAAAACACATATTTTGTTAAAGAAAATAAGGATAGGTTAGTGACATTGGGTGCTTATCTGATGTTTGGAAGGGGTAGAAGCAGCATTGCATTAACTATAAGGCATCCTTTTACAGCAATGTGAAATCTTTTTCTGCTTGCTAGGGAGCTGCAGTGTGTAACTAATTTGACTTTCTTCTGTTTTCATTTGTATTAAATGTTTGCTGTTGAGCTCTCTAGTTGTGTTGCGGTAGCTCCTTATGTTCCTTTGGTTTTTTAATTAGCTTAAAAGATAACCTGTATGAAATTTTTGCTGTGATACTTCTGAGTCTCTTAAAAAAAAAAAAAAAAAAGTAATTCAGAGTTCAACTGAATCTGAAATTTTTGCTTTTGAATTGTTGGCTTTTGCAGCTTTGAAAACTATTTCTTACTAGATTTTTTTAATTATGAGTATTTTTAACTCTTGCTACCTGATTGATTTCCTTAAAGTTTGTGTGACTAAATGAAAATACTCTGTTAAAAGTAGTATGTATCTCTTCAATTGATTTCTTCTGGTTTTGATACCAAAATAATTTTAGCAAGTAGTGGCCAGGGCTGGGCCTCTTTAACTCTTAGTGTATTTTGTTGGTGGCTTCTGTTTTCATCTGAGTATATATTATATATCAGTAATGGACAATACTAGATCCAAGATAATAGAAAAGATCCAGAAACATCCTTAGTGTTTCTTTTTGACAGTAGTTGTCAGTTGGGTGGCTGTTATTTCCTGTTTGTTTAGGGTAATGTTGGATTCACAAAACTGGATGGGTGATTAGCTGGAGTGCTGAAATGGCCTGTGCCAAGTGAGTTGTTGATCTACTGCAACTGAAAAATAATTTGAATAATGGAAGTATCATTAGAAGAAGTTGTTTGAAATGAATGCTTTTATCTTCATTCTCCCTTTTTTTTTTCCCCCACCTAGGTGGAAAAATTGCCGTCCTCTTTCAGCAGATGGGAATTATCGTCCATTGTCCAAAGCCAAGCAGCAGCAAAACATAAGTATGCGACGTCAGGAAAACCTTCAGTGGTTGTCTGAACTTTCATATGTGGAAGAAAAGGAACAATGGCAAGAGCAGATCAATCAGCTGAAGAAACAGCATGAATTTAGTGTCAGCATTTGTCAAACTTTGATGCAGGATCAGCAGGTAGATGTGAAAAGCAGTTATTTTGCTGGTTTTATTTTGTCTTTGCAACACGTGTGTGTCCTGTCCCCCCCCCCCCCCCCCCAATCTTTCCAGCAATAACTTCTGGTTTTGGTAATTTGGTCACTGTCGTGTATTTTCTTTCCACAGACCCTCTCTTGTCTTCTACAGACTTTGCTGACAGGCCCTTATAGTATGATGCCAAATAATGTTGCATCTTCACAAGTACATCTTATTATGCATCAGTTAAACCAGTGTTACACTCAACTGACTTGGCAGCAGAACAATGTCCAAAGGTATGTTGACTGTATTGGTGTTTGACTGTGGAATTTGAAATGTTTCAGTAACAGAGACCATGGTTATGTGAATAAAAGATTACAGATAATAGTTAAATAGGAGACTGTTGAACTTCTGAGTTGATTACAAGCTTTTGAAATTGTATACAGCATTTTTGGTTGTTTTTTGCACTACTGCTTTAATGCCTTTGAGGTGGTTCGTCTTGAATAATCTTGGCATCTTTTCCAAAAATCTGTTGCGATAGCTTTATTTGGCTTTTTTGGTTTAAGCTTGCTTTCCTTGAGTATGCTTTTATGTCTGTGGTCTTTGCTAGACTACATGGCAAGATTCTGTATTCTAATGGTTACGGAAAGATGGTGGAAAAGCTTTTTGTCCTTTCTTAGTGTTGTCAGTCGGAATTTATGCTTGCTTTCACTCTGTTCGGAGGTACTACTTCTGAACAATGATGTTATTTTTTTTAAAAAAAAGGATGTAATAGTAATTTTAATTCATTGCATGAAGGATTAAGCACTTCATCTCTGTTTTGTGTTTGGCAAGTGGTATATAGTTACTGGCCTCTTACATAATATTTCAAGGTTATAAATACCTAAAGGGTGGGTGTCAAGAGGGTGGGGCCGGGCTCTTTTCAGTGGTGCTCCATGACAGGACAAGGGGCAACGGGCACAAAGTGGAGCGCAGAAAGTTCTACTTGAACATGAGGAAAAACTTCTTTACTCTAGAGGGCAGCAGAGCCCTGGGACAGGCTGCCCAGGGAGGTTGTGGAGTCTTCTTCCCTGGAGATATGCAAAACCCACCTGGATGCAGTCCTGTACAACCTGCTGTAGGTGAACCTGCTTTAGCAGGGGGGTTGGACTAGTTGATCTCCAGAGGTCCCTTCCAACCCCTACCATTCTGTGATTCTGTGAAGGTAGTTTCAATGCCACTTCTGCAAATATTTTGTATCTTTGTTTCTATTGAAGTTTTTTTTTCACTCTGCTTATTTTTTTACCATCTAGTCAATTCTGTTGTTGTTATTTAACTTCTGTAAACATGACCACTAGTACAGAGTGGTTGGTTTTAAAACTGTTCCTGTCTAGAACAGAGTTAAATACAAGCTGTTGTTTTTCTTGAGTTTTTCTTTTTACTAACTAAACGCAGCAGTTCTTTATATGGAGCAGGTGAAATAATATGAATCTCAAATCACTTCAGTATAATTTTACAGCTTTCCCTTGGCATTCTTTTTTTTTTTCCCCTCTAAGTGTTTATTTTTCCTTGTTTTTAAGGTTGAAACAAATGTTAAATGATCTTATGCAACAGCAAGAACAACAGTGTCAAGAGAAGCCATCAAGAAAGGAGAGAGGCAACAGTGCACCACCACCCCCATCACCCATTTTCTGTCCGTTCAGCTTTCCTCCACAACCTGTGAACCTGTTTAATGTACCAGGATTTACTAATTTTTCTTCCTTTGCTCCAGGTGAGTATTACAAGTAATAGGAATTTCAAAAATATCTGTTTTCAGTTAAATGAGGAATCTTCATGTGGGCTTGCTGAAACTCTGTGACTTCCTTTATATTGAAATGGTCTTAAACAGTACCTTCATGAGTCCATATTATCTTAGCAGTTTGTTAGTGTTTATTGATGAACAGTTGTATATTTTGACTTCAGTATAAAAAGCAAGGCTTTCTTAATAAGAAGTTGGTTACAGTCAAAAATATCCACTCCATAAAGTTAACGTTTGAAATGTTCTTCATGCAACTTATGAAAAGCAATGTTTGAAGTTTTTGCATATCTTCAGCAATCATAATTTTATGTTGTCGCACAATGGGTCTCAAATTTGACTGTATCACATAGATAAATGAGATAGTATATTCTGACTTTCTTGTTTGTTTTGTAGGTATTAACTATAATCCAGTGTTCCCTTCTGGTTTTGGAGATTTTGCACACAACATTTCCCCACACAGCAGTGAGCAGCAGCAGCAACAACAACATTCTGTAGATCATAATGCTTCTGGGAAAACTGAGTATATGGCATTCCCCAAACCCTTTGAAAGCAGTTCCTCTAATGGAGCAGAAAAACAAAGGTATTTAATGTCACAGTGCAGCTCTGCTTTAATAATTTTTCCTCTCTCTCTTCTTACTTTTCTGGGGCTTGTGGGAATTCATCATTCTTTTAGGGAATTTATTGTAGTGGAATCAGAAGATGAGCTTTACTTCTCTGGTTTCCAGTTCAATTTTTTTACTTTTTTTCAGTAAAGTGTTCTGCTTTTCTGTATATTAATTAATGTATCATTTCATTAATATTTTAAGATCAAATACAGTGTTGGAGTGGTTTTGTGATACTTTTTTTAAATGGAGATGATTTCATATCCATGTTTTTTGAAACCGAGATGTTTGAATAACTAGAGAATATAATTTCAGTGAATGCTTATTTTTTTTTGTGCTACATTAGATTGTAGTGAATGTTGTTTTAAGAAATGTTTTGTCCTATAGTACCATTTGAACACAGGAATAGCTGCCTAAGTATATTCAGGTTGAAATCGGTGTTAAACATGAGTTCTTCAGGTGTCTTCCATCTTCCATTTGGCAGGGTTCTTGCTAGATCTTTCTTAAATGTTTAGCAGATGACTAAGTAACTAGGGCAGATAACTTGCATTGTGGATAAAGCTGTTTGCCTGGTAATACATGCTGTTTCTATCTGAGAGAATAGGTTATGATATGTTGTGGTCTGTCTGTCTTTTCTTTCTTTCTAACAGAAGGAGTCATAGACAAGCTGAAGAGGAAATGGAAAAAAGATCAACTTGGCGTAGTGATAACCAGGAAATGAAAAAAGATGATCAGTCTCAGCTGAAAGCAGGTTTTTCAGTTTCAGTACAAAACATTGCTTCCAGTCATAAAAATCAGTCTGATATGAGCAGGAGAAGAGAGTTTGATGAAGAGTCTTTGGAGAGTTTTAGTAGCATGCCCGATCCGGTAGACCCAACTACTGTGACAAAGACTTTTAAATCTAGAAAGGCATCAGCGCAAGCAAGCTTGGCATCAAAAGATAAAACACCCAAATCAAAGAATAAGAGGAAGAGTTCTCAGCTAAAAGGCAGAATTAAAAATACTGGTAGGTTGTAAAGTAATCTGAGATTTGGCAAACTGAAGTTGGATTATAATCAGAATAGTTTGGGTTGGAAGGGACCTTTAAAGGTCATCTAGTTCCAAACCCCCTGCAATGAGCAGGGACATCTTCGACTAGATCAGGTTGCTCAGAGCCCCATCCAACCTGACCTTGAATGTTTCCAGGGATGGGGCTTCTACCACTTCTCTGGTCAGCCTGTTCCAGTGTTTCACCACCCTTGTAAAAAATTTCTTTCTTATATTCAGTCTAAATCTGCCCGCTTTCAGTTTAAAACCATTCCTCCTTGTCCTGTCACAACAGGCCATGCTAAAAAGATTGCCCCCATCTTTCTTATAGGCCCCCTTTAAGTACTGAAAGGCCACAATAAGGTCTCCCTGGAATCTTCTCTTCAGGCTGAAAAATGAAGAACTGGAAGTTTGCTTTCCCAAAATTCAGAAGTCTGACTTTACTCTGACTGACCCACCAGTTTAAAACCATTCCTCCTTGTCCTGTCACAACAGGCCATGCTAAAAAGATTGCCCCCATCTTTCTTATAGGCCCCCTTTAAGTACTGAAAGGCCACAATAAGGTCTCCCTGGAATCTTCTCTTCAGGCTGAAAAATGAAGAACTGGAAGTTTGCTTTCCCAAAATTCAGAAGTCTGACTTTACTCTGACTGACCCACGTCCCTCAGGACTGTGAACTCCACCAATGTGTGATCACTGCAGCCCTGGCTGCCTCCAGTCTTGACATCACCAATTAGCTCACTTGCATTGGTGACCATCAGATCCAGTATCACATCCCCTCTGGTAGGGCTGTCTATTACCTGGCTTAAGAAGTTTTCCTCAGTGCACTCTAGGAGTCTCCTGGATTGTCTACAGCTTGCTGTGCTACTTTTCTAGCACATGTCAGGGTAGTTGAAGTCCCCCAGCAGGACGAGAGCCTGTGAGCGCAGAGCCTCCAGCAACAGCTGGAGTAAGAAGACTGTCCGTGGGTGGCCTGTAGTAGACACCAACCACAAGGTCCCTTTTGTTGCCTTGGTCTCTAATTCTTACCCTTAAGCTTTCAACCTGCTCGTGGCTATACTTCAGAGACAGCTCTTCACACTCGATCCATTTCTTGATGTAGAGGGCAGTGCCTCCACCCATCCTTCCTCACCTGTCCCTTCTGACCAGCTTGTAGCCACTGATAGCTGCACTCCAGTCATGGGATTCTTCCCATCGAGTTTTGGTAATGGCAACCAGGTTGTAGCTTTCTAGCAGCATGGTGGCTTCCAGCTTCTGTTTGTTGCCCATGCTGCGTGCATTGGTTGCCCAGGCTGCTGGCTGTGTCATCTTCTTAGAGGGACACCCCTTAATTCCTTTGAGGGATTTCTCTGGTGTTTCTCCGTTAGCTCCTATTACCTCAGGAGCCCCTGGCTCATCTCTGTAAGACTGCAGGTGTGCTGCAGTGTACCCAGCACACCTCAGAGGGACAGACTGAGGACCTTCACTAGTACTCCGTCCTTCTAACCATGGCGTGTCACCCCACAGCTTGTCATAGGCAGCACTGACATTTCACCGTGTGGGTGATTTTTTTCAGGCTGCCCAGAGAGGTTGTGGAGTCTCCTTCTCTGGAGACACTCAAAACCCGCTTGGACGCGTTCCTGTGTGACCTACTGTAGGTGGTTCTGCGCTGTCACGGGGGTTGGACTAGATGATCTTTCGAGGTCCCTTCCAACCCCTAACATTCTGTGATCCCCTCCCCCTTCCAGTCTAGTTTGAAACTCTGTCAATAAGCCCCACAAGCTCCTGTGCAAAGACCCTCTTCCCCCTTAGGGAACAGTGGATCCCATCTGATGCCAACAAGCTGGGTGCCATGTAGGCCATCGCATTATCAAAAAACTCAAAATTGTGGCGGTGGCACCAGCTCCAGAGCCATGTATTAATAGACTGGGTCTGTCTGTTTCTTCTGATGTCGCTGGCCGCAACTGGAAGGAGAGTGGAAATAATAACCTGTGCTCTGGATTCCCTCATCAACCATCCCAAGGCCCTGAATTCTCTTTTGACTGCTCTTGGGCTACACATTGCGGCTTCATCGCCACCCACATGGAAGAGCAGTAGTGAGTGACAGTCTGAGGGCTGCACCAAGCTAGGGAGTTTCCTAGTGGTGCCCTTAATGCGGGCCCCAGGGAGGCCACAGACTTCCCTAAGAGGGGGCTCTATTCTGCATGTTGGACCCTCTGTTCTCCTCAGAAGGGAGTCTCCTACAACTATAACCTGTCTTTTCTTCCTCACGGAGGTGGTCCTGATATGGGGAGGGTAGGCCTTTCTGACCTTGGCAACACTTCTAGTGTAAATGGACTGTCCTCCATATCATCCATTGTCTGGCCTCCCACATCCAGAGGCTCGTACGTGTTGGTAGAGAGGCACCTGGGGGAAGCAAGATGGGCAAGGAGGGAGTTTGCCTGCCACCCTGAGCATGGATTTGTCTCCGTTCGCCCCTTCCTGTTAAGCTGCTGCCTTCAGCCTGGTAGGGGGAGGATACAGGATCCCCTTGATCTTGATAATCATTACATTCTAGGGAATTTACTATCCATAAGTGGTACCTATAATAATGAAAACAAGTTCTTGAAATATGAATTAATTTTACATAATGTAACTACATAAAGTTTTTTTTAGTATTTCAGTAAATAAAAAGCATAAGTGACGAGGACATCATGATTTGAATGGATAGTGGTTGCAGATACACTTAAGATCTGGAATGAGCCAACAGCGGAGTCTTCCTCTTCAGTGTGTCTTCATGTTCGAACTGGATGACTAGCTGAAAGATGTGATTCAGTAAAATACTGAATGAGAAGAGAGGGACAGTACTAGCATGTATAATACTGTTCCAGTCACTGAGGATTTAGTGCTACTGTATGGCTTCAGCGTACAGATTTTTTTGGCTAGGAAACTTCTTCGGTGTGTTGCATCTTTGAGATTGCCCTCAAACAAATTTTTAGATGTATTAAAACATTTTATAGACTATTTTTTTTATTTCTTTTCATTCCCTCCCATTTAGGTTATGAAAGTGCAAGCGCTTCTAGTGTGTGTGACCCCTGTAAGAGCAGTAAAAGCAGGCACTCCGAAGAGGTTGTTCATGCAAAGGTGTTCAGCAAAAGGAATCGGGAACAATTGGAAAAAATCATTAAATATAGTAGATCTACAGAAATGTCTTCAGGTATTCTTTTCTGAATGTCAGTAGTTATTTTCTGAACTTCTTCGAGTAAAGGACCTCCATATGTAGTTGCTAGTGTATTATTTAAAAGCAGTGTATTATGACAAGAAGGCAACACTATACTTAGCATATGGGTTTTGCTTTTCAATTTCTAAGGATGCTGTAAACAGAAGTGTATAAAAAGTTGGGTATTGATTGCTTTTGGGTGTTTTCTGCAGATTAGGTACTTCATTAAAATAGTTTAGATACAAACCTGTAACTGTAAAACAAGCAAAAACCTATCCAACTAGAAACCTTGCCCATTTGTTGGTGTTTTTATGGGAAGATAACTGCACTTTGATAAGCATCTAAACTACATCCTGTACTGCGTACGTGATTTCTTTCTATCCATGCTTAAAGGAGCTCTATCAAATATCATTCAAATTCAATCTATAACATCACACAAACCCTTACATTTTTGCCATCTGCACTGCTTTTCTTGTGTCTAGATCATAAAAATACTCTTGTTCTATGTCTTTTTAGGTTCTGCCAGTATCTCTTTGTTTTGTTTGAAAGATGCAGGAATTTTAGTTATTGTAGCATGACATACAGCTTTGTCAGTGTAGCTGTGTCCACACTAAGAGCTGTTTATTGATCTATGTAATAAACTTACCAGTCAAGTTCTCACAATAAGCAGCTTTGATGTGGTTTGGAGGACTAAGCAGTCTTCCTCCTGCTGTTTTGTATAGACCCTATCTTTATTTCTGGTGCGCATTTTTGTGTTTATCACTGTCTATCCCCACTTTCCTACAGCGCATGCTAGGAGAATTCTGCAGCAGTCTAACAGAAATGCATGCATTGAAGCGCCAGGTAATGCATTCACTGCTTAGCTTCAACAATGTCCTGTTACTTTTTTTTTTTCTCTTGGCTTTGGTCCTATAACTCAGACTGTTTAGCAGATGTGCAAAGTTAGTACTATTGCAGCACATTTTCTATAAACCAGGCAAGAGAAGTTACTTGTAATTTGCATAAACGGCAATGATACAAACTACTTTGAATTATAATTGTGGAGAATGTCTTTATCATCTCCTAGTAGAGCCACAATTAGAAATAGAAAACACACAGGTAGATACTAGACCAAAAACTTAATTTCAGTAGGCATTTTTAGCATGTTTAAAAGCTACTGTTACATTTTATTAATGAGTGAGGGAAGCAATTTCTGGTGGCTTATTAAAGGTTGAAAAAGCTTGCCTCTCTGCTTAAAAATACTGATAAACTCTTTGCAGATAATCAGATTGCACAGTAACATTTGCTGTATTGCTAATAACTTCATTATCTTGAATACTAACAAATATGCATCTGTTAAACTAAGCTGAGTTTTCCAAATGTAACTTTTTTCCATTCAACACTTGCCAAAATACGTATATAATAATTTAACTGTTGTGGTCCAAGGATAGTCCTTAATTTTCAAAGGAATGGGAGACTTATTAGGGAACACATTGTCTTCTCATACATATATAATAGGGCTTAAGGGTAAGAGGTTCTATCTGAGCCTCAGAAGTGATATTACACATGTATGAGAATGTAGGATTTATGCTTATGTGGGAGGTGTGGGAAGGAATGGCTTTCTTGAATTCCGTCTAGAGCTTTCTTAATGTTGTTGCTTGTGTTGTAAAAGTGTGGACTAATTGTATAATATAAACTTGAGACCTTTGGCTGTCTTGTTTGAAATCTTAGAACTCCATTTTCAGTGTTGAACACCTGTGCAAAATACTTTTTAAAGGTACTGTTCAGAATTGTGAAGAACGTTATTCCTGTGAACACTTGTCTCAGAAGAAGTATTGTCTCAGAATGTTTAAATTTTTGTTGCCCTCCAGCAAATGAGTAAACTTTAAGAAAGCAGCTGTATAATGGAATCTACAATGGTTGAGCTGTGATTTGTCTACCTGTAACTTGCGTATGTTAATAGGTAGTTGTCTTTCAACTGGATACATGTCAAGGACTTAACAAGTTCCTTTTTTTCTACAGAAACTGGTAGTGATCTTTCTATGTTTGAAGCTTTGCGAGACACCATTTACTCTGAAGTGGCAACTCTTATTTCTCAAAATGAGTCTCGTCCCCACTTCCTTATTGAACTTTTCCATGAGCTTCAGCTGCTAAATACAGATTACCTGAGGCAAAGGGCTCTATATGCTTTACAGGTATGCCCAAAACTTTCCATCTTGTGTATGAATCAAACAAATCTTAGAACCTTTGTTACAGTATAGATTTACTATCTTTTCCAGGATATAGTGACCAGACATTTATCTGAGAACAATGAAAAAGGGAAGTGCACAAAGTCACTGAATTCTGCAACATGGATGGCGTCAAATTCTGAACTCACTCCCAGTGAAAGCCTTGCTTCTACAGATGATGTAAGTTTTCAAGTTCAGAAGCTAGTTTACTGTCAGCTTTTCCTGTCTTTTCCATTTACATGCATGCTTGTGTACTGAAATATTCATTTTAGCAATAGATTTTTTTCTAAAGTTAGTATCAACTTACACAGACTTCTCTGAACAAAGAAATGCAAAAGAATTTTAATGCAAAGTTATTAAATATGGTAGGATTCTTGAAGCTGGAAATGAGTGATGTGTTAGGGAGGAATAGAACATGGAGAGGGGCATAAATCAGAAACTGATACTCAAAAAGAGCCAAAATCCTATTGTGAGTAAGGTCAGGGCAGGTACTGATCACAAGATTCCCCACAAATTTTTTTGCTTTTTTGTATTTAAGGAATCACTGATATCTCTGTACATTTTCTTATATGTTTTATAGTTAAAATAGCGAAGTTGTTCCCCAGTCGGGCACTCTGGTGACAAGCCCTGATACCACAGCACATGGCTGAAAAGAATTGCTGG